TGATGACAGCACTCTACATGCAGGAATTCAGAGTGACAAGCCGATCTCTGCCGCTGAGCTGGAAAAAAGAAGACTAGCGACGACTTCTTCTTTGACAAGAGACCTGGAGGCTATCACTGCTTGGGGACGCAACAATCTTGTACAGTTCAATGCTTCCAAAACACAGTACTGTACTTTGACGAACAAAAAGCGTCCTAGCGCTCATACAGTTTCGATGGACGGTCGAGTCCTACCAAAGAGCCATTCATTTCGGCTGGTCGGAGTCCAGATCACCGAGGACCTGATCTGGCACGAACACATCTCTTCAATAGCTGCAGCTGCTGGGAAAAAGCTAGGCTATTTGTTTACTGCTAAGAAGTACTTTTCTCCGCATGACCTTCTCACTCTATACAAGGCCCAGATAAGGCCTAGCCTCGAGTATTGCTCACACATTTGGGGTGCTGCCGCCCCGACTACATTGTCCATGCTCGATGCTGTCCAGAGGAGGGCGGTCCGACTGATCGATGACTCTTCTCTAACAGACAGTCTCGGGACTCTTTCGCACCGGCGGGCCGTCGGCGATCTAGCTCTTTTCTATCGCTACACCAACGGGCTTTGCTCCTCAGAGCTCTCTTCCATGATGCCGCCGCGCGATGTGCCTGCCAGACAGACCCGCCTGACTTCGGCGTCCCATCCTAACCGTGTCAAACTTCGTACATCCAGAACTGGCCGATACGACCGCTCCTTTGTCCCGAGGGTGTCTAGATTGTGGAACAAACTACGGGAGGAAGCTTTTCCCAGTTCTACTAACCTTAAGCAGTTCAAAAATCGTATTAACAAAATTTCTTTGGGATCATCATAGCAGCCGCGGTGTTCCGGCATTTAGGCTTCTGCCTGCGCGGCTGTTTCGATATAAAAAAAAAAAAAAAACTAAATAGCATTCTAACATATCACTTTTCTTCATGGGAGAACATTTTTCTTTAAATTAATGACACAATAAAGCTTATAAACAAGTATTTACACTAATGTTTGACATTATTTGATTTTATCATTGTTTTCCAAAGACTTCTAGTTGCGAGTATGTCCAGTTTAACAATTTGTCGCTTATCTTAATGCTGTCAAATCGCGAACGCCATGTTGTTTTCATAGCCGTCTTAATATTATAATACTGCAAATAATTAAAAATATTGATCGTTATTTTGACTTTATTTTTGACTTTAGCGGAAAAGTCATTATGAACTTTTTTGTTTAAAATTTGATGCTTTAACAGAAAAAAATATAATATACAGGGGTTTCCATTTAAAAAAATGTTATTTTACTGAAAAAAATCAAAATAACGACTCTCAATTGTTTTTTTTTATTTCTCATTCTTACCAGCGTTAAAAATGCTACTAGTTTGCTAATTTAAACAACTTTGTATTTTTACTAATAACAAAGTTACCAATGGTGGACACTTAATTTGGATAACCCTGTAGATTGATTGTCTACTTACTAACAACCCTTTTATTTAGAAAAGTTCATTTGCATACCAAAAACTGCTATAAGCAAGTTTTACTAAATTTACACCCGATTTATTATTGCCATCGTTACAGACTATATAGTATACCGTAGTCCATTTACGCCCAGACAAAACACAACATCCCCAAAAGCGAGATTGCACAGGTCCGTATTTTCCTCAATGGTCTTGGAATAATCTAACAAAATAAATGATTATTGAAGTGCACATACTTTTCACAATTCTTTATTCGATGGAAGTATTTGAATCATCGTCCGTATGGTTAATATTAATCATTACAGGTTCAAGTTGAATATCGATCATTTGTCCAGATCCCACATCTTTGTTTCGATTGTCTGTTGAATGTGACGGATGCAATCTTTCCAATGGTTAACCGTCTCTCTGCTTACAGCTTCATGAAACAAATTTTTCACGACAGAAAATTTGAATGATCTATTGTTTGAAGCCACATAGTTTTTTATATTTGCCCAAATCATTTCAATGGGATTTAATTCGCAGTGATAAGGGGGTAGCTTCAAAACGGTCTTATTTTGGTTTTTAGCCATTTCGTCAATAACATTAAGATTATATTTATATTTGTGCTGCCGGACTAGACGGATGAGTTCTGCTTTGACCATATTTTCATTGAAACTAATGTCTTTTGATAGGAGCCATGGTTGAATTTCTGCCTTTCTTGTAGACATTGTGGGAATTTTTTCTAGTGTGGTATGCAGCATTATCAAGTACAATTACGGCATTGTCGTCAAGCTTTGAGAACGTTTCTTCAAACCATCGTTCACATAAACTCTCGCCCATTTCTTCATGGTAGTCGGTCGTTTTCTTTGACTCAAATGTCCATAGGGCAGTGGGCACAAAGCCATATTCACTGCCAATGTGACAGATAACAAATCGTTTTTCCTGGAAATAATTATTTCATATAGTATTCAAGAGAACTTATAATAATACAAGCAGAGTATCTAACAGGTGTTGGTTCCAAATCTACCAGATATAGCTAACCTTAATGTAGCTAAGTTTTCAGCGTGGGTTCATAGATTCAGTTCACTTGACACCATTTTTACAACACAAATGACGAATTGGTTAGATACACGTACCTGACGGATTCTTTGGGTCAGTGGTTAGTCCATCTAAGAAGGCTTGTCTTGCTGATTCATTTGTATACTTTATGTTTTATATGTCCTGCACTTATAAAGTTTCATCCAAGTAATAAATCTTCCTGCCCTGGTCGCAGTATTTCTTTTTTGATTTTGAATAATTTCTTCTACATAAAATAATCTCTGGGTTGTCCATCAAAATACTATTTCTGCCCTGTTTTCTATTCTCAAAATGAAGTTATTTGAGTAAACTATAGAATGTGGTCCTTTTGAAAGTAGGTAAGCCTTCATCACTATTAACCTCCTGTAAATACTTTGTCTATGTTGGAAAGTTCCTGCCTTTCAAAAAATTGAGGGACTTTGCGTCTGATGGCATTCCGATCAAAGTTATTAACTGTATCCAAGAGCTTTGTGTAATGCAGCCTCTTGTGTGGTGGAGACAATTTTTTTTTATATTATATTCTTTAACAATGTTGAAAATTGTCTTATGACATAAGTCTGTTTTGTTCACCACATGTCTTTCAATATCATGAACTTTCATTTCAGGATGCTCTAAAATTTTGCTCTTATAAACGTTAAGGACTTTTTTTGCCTAAATATTCAAATGTCCCTTCTTGTCACGTTTTCGGGGAGGAGGCATCACTGAAGAGGAAGCATGGCTGAAGGAAGCGTTGGTAGAAATATTCTCAGTTTCATCTGCTGTATCCGTTGATGACATGCTAACGTATAAACACACGCTATGTATGCACCGGATTTGAACAGCAACTGCCAGCGATACCCCGAGCCTGAGTTCTATCCTGTCGAATGCTGCACTTGTTCGTAGTGTTATTGCCGAATGATCAATAGCTTAGGCGGCTGCCGCTTTGCTGCGCTGCATATTCGCTGTGCCGGGGCGTAAATGGACTATGAATAGGGTATAATACCAAGATGTCACTTGCTGATCAGCAGTACACGTCAAAACGTGATGGTTACTCTTGAAATAGGGCTTAGACTCATGTTGCTGTAGCAAGAAATAGGGTTATGGTACATAACTTAAGCCAATGAACCATACTGATAATATTTTTTTTGGCTTATTGTTGAAAATTGCACTAGAATACTGACATATCAAATGTGTTTACTCTCCAGGTTTCAATGTTTTTGAGGTAAGTGCATAGGGGGAACCAGATCAACGACAATATCCCGGGAAAGCAGAATTTCCCGTTTTATATCCAAACCAGACCTATTTGCTCATCCTTGTTCAATAACCGACAATCGGTTGTAGAAAAATCCATGTACTTACTCGACTACGAGGCAGTAGATTGTATTTTTTCAGCAAAGATATTATTTTGAAAGATAGGTACTGTGCGAGTCCATTATTATACTATCTATATGACAGCTTTCTAAAATGCGTATATTTGAAGAACTTTCTCAGTCATACAAATGACGGGTTGAGTAGATGGTTTATGCAGGAAACAAGAAAACTGTTAAATAAGGGATTCCGGGAAAAGCGGTTAGCGAAATTAAAACTCTTATTTTGGAGTATATGGTACATAAACATGAAAACAACCTAAGGATTGTTTTTAAAAGGACCTATTCAAGTCAAGTGACGTGTATTATGCAGTACTACTTGAATGTGAAGGAATGTTATTTACATAATGAACTAAGCCAAAATTACGCATCTACTTTTCAGGAAACGTTTCCAGGAAAAAAAAACTAATGAAAACATTCCGAAATTAGGATTATTTTTAGACATATCACAAAAAATAGTATCATTTATTTCTGTCTGTCTGCATTTCCTTGCAGAGATCAAATAAAAATTCTCATTTGTTATCGATGCTTAAAATTTTTGTGTTATTAAAATTTTCAAAAATCCTACTTTTCTGTTTCACGAATCCACCAGCAATGCCGTTCAACAATTAAATTTGGCAGTTATACCTAGAGAGTTCTGGGGAAATTTTGAAGTGTTGATATCCTTATGTATTTTCAGATGCCCCTTCTGAACTTTTCACTGTTTCACAAATCATAACAACTCATCTCATAAAAAACGCAAATCCTTAAATTGTAGTAGAAAATTATCCCTAGTATAATTTGTCTGGGTTAGGCTATAGCTTCACGTTTTTACAAGCTGCTTGCATTCCCCACCCTCGATCAAGGATTAATAGGGTCTGTATTTATACTTTTGAACTCAATTGTCACTAGTGTTGAGTTTTTAGAAATATTTACAAGTAGGAGTCCGAATTCCGCTTTAACCCGGGCTTCACAACAAAAAATGAATAGATCTACTTGACGAAATTTTAGAAAGTTTACCGAGTTTCCTACCTACACGGTATAAAACGTGATGCGACCAGTTGATAAATTTAATCAATTAAACATTTTTAAATGGAAAAATCTAACGACTCATTGTTATAAAAAATATGGTAATCTAAAGTACTTACTTTCAGTAGTCATTCCAGAAATAATCTCCGTGATGAAATTATGTTCTTTTCTGATGAGCTCCTTCTCAAAATATCCACCATTCAAATGTTCGTTCTTCACATAACCATTCACAACAGGAACCCTTTCACCATTGCTCTCATTAACACTAGACGCTTTTGTTTTACCTTTAACTATATCACAATTCGCATCACCACTCTGTTCCTCCACCGACTCCAGTTTCACCTAAAAAAATCACACTCATGACTAATGACCCCCAATACATACCCCTGAGGGACTCCCATGCCAATACTTTACTCCGGAGCACGAAGACTAGATAGGAGGTTAAACTCCAAATAGAGGGTGTGAAGCCGAAATGCTGCGCATAGGGTATCTCTTTCGTATGTACACTGCGCACAAAAAGAAGTTCGGGTTCTGGGCATGTGATATCTCACTCTGTATCTGTCAAGATGCGATTCCACCAGTGTGCTGAACTGTGCGGCACTCTAATGCACAGTGTACAGCACAAATGCTTGTTCTGGTCGACTCACTCACGCAAACAATAGCAAATGGTGCGCAAACATTTCGGAAGCGTTTCCGAACATCAGTTACTTTTGTGCGCGCGTACATACTCGTGTCGGCGGGAACATACTTGTTGTTCGCGAACTCAGTATTGCTCTCGCTCCTGGAGTGAAAACATTTGTTTGTACGCGCACTTCTTTTACGAAATTGAAAATGGACTGGACGAATGATAGGATTATAAAATTTATTCAAGCAATTGAAACAGAAACAAAAAACACGACGCCACTCAAGAGTTGGCTCAAAGTTTCAATTGTGACTCGACTGAGAAAATGAAAGATTATTTTGGCTCGGTACCGAAGAGAAAAAAAGAAAATAGCGAATTCAAAATCTTCAGGTTCTGGGTTTTCAGATTTATTATTTGTTATTTTATATTGTTATCACAACTACAGTTTTTAAAGCCAAGATCCGTTGCAAGATGTAATGTTACTTTCTTTTGCAGTCGTGCTAACACAAATTTGATTTTGAAATCACCTGAAAGGGTTATGTGTTTGAATTATAATAGTATTTGTAAGTTTTGTGACATATTTTTATGTTCTATTTCGGAGCTAAAATGTGTTCTGCGGGAGCGCCTTAGATATTTTTATAAGTTAGGCTTTTGTAATATTTCTAATTTATATTTTGGCCTATAAATGGAATATTATCTGTTGGGCAATAAAAGCTATAAATAAGCCTTATTGAAACAGGGACACATTTTCTGTAGTTGGTGTCTTGCTTTGCAATATGAGGACTAAGTGCATTGACCAGCAAAATCTTCACACGATATACGAGTAAAATTTTTAAATCCACTTAAGGGATCTACTTTTATTTCTTCTACAAATCTATTCGTTTCTTCATTCCATCGCTGCAGAAAAGGCCTCACCAAACATCGTCGTTTTCTTCTTCGTTTCTTTTTAAGCAGACTACCTATTAAAACACAAGCTGCAGCACGAAACACTACGTATTCCCGTCCATCCATATTAAGAACTGAAGTTAGTGAGAACTTTGCTTGGTAAACATGTTCGTGCACAAGTGTGCTACACTGTACGCTTACAAAAGTTATGCACTGCTTTGCCGGTGGACACAGAAGATAAATTCGATACCAGTGAGCACATTCAATGCTGGAGTTTTACACAAAATGTTTGTAAACAAATGTGCTAAACACTATGTTGGTGGAATCGTACCATCACCATGACTTCAAAGCATGGCTAAACGTGAGTGAATTGCACGTAAAGATTGCAGCAGGTTATGTTGACATTATTTAATGCGCAGACTCTCTACTCTAAGCCATGTTATACGTCCTCTAGATTTCCGAGAGCAACACCATCCTTCATACGAATACGTGTATCCTTTACGCAGTTTAACCTCCTATCTCTAGTCTTCGTGCTCAGGAGGGTAACCAAAACTAAAAATTAGAAAGAATGGATGTCAATTTCCCGCTCAATTCGTATAGCATTTGTGTGCATGTGCTCTGTGATAATTCCCAGGTTGCCAATAGTCTCTGTAGTTTCACCTGCAACTTTTTCCCTGCAATTATAACACTATTACTTGCCGTTATAGGATTTCAACCAGTTCATTCTATTCAATCTAGCCATGGACATATCTGCAACAATTTTTTAAAAACAAAAACTGACATTGCGAGCATTTGGTACTTATCTAGTCTATTAAATAGAAAATATAGAGTTTAGATTCTGCTTTTAATATAACTATCACGAAGCCTTTATACCACGAGAAACTACGGCAATGCTGTTCGTACTGTATAAACGAACCCGAAGTACCTGTGGTGCTTCGACAGGGTTGCTATGTTTCCCCCAAATTTGAGGAATTTTTACTTCGGGGATTTTTTTTCTCGTGTAATTTCATTCCCGCTAATTTTTAGTTCTGTGAGTTTAACACACCTGAAAAGGATGTCTCAATAAGAGTGCCGGACTTGATTTTCAAGAAAAACACAATTTCTTTTCGAATTAAGCGAGTATTTATATTTTAACATGAAGAGGAATAGTTGCGATTAAACATGAAATAGGACATCTGGTAAATGGCCAAGATCAAACCTCTGGCACAGGGTCAGTCTTTTCTTAAAATTATGGATAACGTTTTCGCACAACTGTGGCTCTATATCGTGGATAACGCGCCGTATCTCTTCTTTAAGGCATTCACCTGTTTGTGGCTTGTTCGCATACAATTTTGATCGCGAAACCGCGAGATGACACGGTCCGGAAACTGGGTCCGCAGTAACACCTCTTTCGATCGATCTGGGGCCAAAAAAACTCGGTTAAAATTTCGCGATACCGCACACCATTAACAGTTACCGCAGTTCCAGCTGCATTTTCGAAGAAATACGGTTCAATCACTCCGCCACTCAACAATGCGCACCAAATGGGAACTCGCGGCGGATGCGTTGGTTGTTCGATTATTACACGAGGGTTTTCACAACCCCAAATTCGACAGTTCTGCTTATCGACGTACCCGTTCAGTTGAAAATGTGCCTCATCAGAGAAAATGATTTTCTTCGAGAAATCTGCATCAATTTGGTGGCGCTCCAGCGCCCAATCAACGAATACAGGGTACGCTGCACAGGGTCCGTTGGCTTGAGTTCTTGCGTCAGTTGAACCTTGTACGCATGCAAGCACAGATCTTTTGTCAAAAGTCTCGGCAGAGTGGGTCTGGTAAGGTTTAATTCTTGGCCACGATGCCGAATGGAAAGTGTCTGGATTCTCGGCCACACTTTCCCGCACGGCGATTATATTTTCGAGCGACCGACCAGGGTGGCGACGAACAATGGTCTTCACATTCAGCAACGTAAATTTTGTCTCAAATTTTGTAATTAATCGGCGAACTGTTGTCTCATTTGGCGCATTATTGCGACCGAAAATTGTACGTAATTTGCGACCTGTTTCCGCGTAATTTTCTCCATTTTTATAGTGAGTTTTCTCAATAATTAAATATTGCTCAATGGAATGCTGTTCCATGACGTCTAATCGCGTGATCTGGATATGACACCATACCCTTTGTACAAAAAAATGGCGGCAAATTCAAATCCGGCGCTCTAGTCGAGACACCCTTTATTTCGCATATCACTAGTTTGCATCATATACGGACCTACCTCCTCTAAACTATTTCCAGACTCTTCAATTTTCACCACTTCTGTCGGAACTTTTCGTTTTTCATTGACATATTCTAATCTGAGCACATCACTTAAGCGAGGCAATAAACTAACCGGTTTTTTATAATGGTACCGGACCATTTCTGGAACCTGAACAGTGTTCCGCTTCGGTAGAGCGGTTTTTATCCGAAAAGGTGGGTTTTTCCTGTGTATTTTACGAAAAAATTGCAATTTTATGGCATCTTGATCCACGGGCGTGCTGGTGAATTTGTCCCATAGTTTTATCCGCTCTGTTGCGGATACTGACGTCAGAAGTTTTGAGTCCTGTAAGAGACAATTCTCATCAAGATTGAATTGATTTTTCGATTGTTTCTGTTAGATCCGTGGAAAAGTTTAGGTCAACTAACTGACCTTATACAATGACTACTGAAAATATTTTTTAATAATACTTCAGTACGGCAAATGTGGCAAATAACCGCGTGCGGTCAAGTGACACATAACTCTGACGAATTTGTAGCCTTTATTTTCAAACAGTTCACAATAAAATATCAAAATGAGAAACATAAGTATTAACGAGAAAAAAAATAAATGAGGACTGTCTGAAAACCACAAGGGGGAGTTCACTGTCTAGTGCTCTTCCCCTCATCCCTTGAAATTTGAGAAACATTATGCCAGTAAATACGTCCATCAAGCATCTACAAGCATCAATATGAACGAAATCTAAGTTTAAAAAAAAGGGAAAAGACAGAAACGTGGTAGTAAATTTAAAGTCTAGAATAATATATGTATACATATAGGTACATTATGCATCATATGAAAAAAATATATAAACAAAATAATAGAATGCAATCAAAGTAAAATCGAAATTCCGAAGCAGCAGTCAGAATAATTCTACTTTATACATTCAAGGTAAGAATCACGCAAAACTGCTTTGAACATGAATTTCATATGATTTGAGGTACTGGGGGATAGGATTGTAAAGCTTATATATAATATAAGCTATATATTATGCATAAATGATCTTTCAAAAAATTTAGTTCTGTGGAATGGAGCGGTAATGTTTCATTCGAACGAATATTTACGGAACGGCTGTCTTTTCTGAATGTTATTTTCTCGTAGAGGTAATGAGGCTGCCTCGTAAAAAATCGACACTTTATTTATTTCTTTTAACTTATTTTTCCCAACTTGGCAGTTGTATTTATTGTATTTTCTTCAGCTTACGAGTAAAAGTGCGATACTAGCGCTTCAGGGATCAACTAAGACAGAAACACAGCATTGTCACGTCACGTGATATCATATGCTAACTATCTATACATGAAACAGCGTATTTAGTTATGTATTTATAAATGTAATCTCCCGCACCAATGCTTCCGTCAATACCACCTTAGCGCAGCGCCGCCTAGCGGGAGCAAAACTGGACAACGCTGCCATTTCTAACACCGTATTACATTTTCAAAGTGTTGTCTGTTATATTAGCGTACCGTTTGTAGTGGCGTACATAAAATGATATTTCGGTGCAACCTGGCCAACATGCATAAGACTTTGTCCACATGCTTATTGAGAGTAATATAACGCCTTCGTATAACTGGAACTCTGCGTCGCAGCGAGACACCCTCGCAGATCGACCAGAGTTACGCGGCTGGGCGTGAGCAATTGCGGCCTCATGGAGTAGCTTCGAGAGCGTTTGATGTCATCGAGATGAATATACTGTCATCTAACATAGATAACTTTGTCAAGGGTCGCGCTATCTCTGGAAGGCTTCTGGAATTCGTCGATTGAAGTTGAATACCACAACAGATGGCGAAAACAGTGACTCACAGTCACAGCGCGATATCCTAGTCGACATGGTTATGAATTTCTCATAAATTAGTTGCAAGCGTTAAATAAATTAGTGTAAGAGTAATAAATTAGACTTTAAAAAGTTTTCGTTACAGTAATCTAAAATGACTGATTCGTCTCGAGCTCTTATGGGTATACTGTGATATCATGAGCAGGATACAGTGTTAGATTTGCATGGCTGGAAATACCAAAACTGATAAAGCACGATATCGCTTGCAGGTTATGTAATTTTGCGCCCTTGCCGTGAAGCGCCTAGCTATCGAAGTTGTGATTCGGTCACGCCTTTTCACGGAATTTGGTAATCGCCGTGATACGTGATTAATAAATATCAGTTACTGAATCACAGTTTGTGAAATACTCCCACTACTACCGGGTCCGAGGTTTTGAAATTTCTATGTCTTACGGCGCTCCACTATACGTTGATTCAGAACCTAGACATTCGTTTCCAGTGTTTTGAACAAAATTCCTACCAAATAGTTTTCGACGTGCATGGGACACATCCACCTGCCAGTAGGCGGTGAAGTCAATGGCGGATCCAGGCAGTCCAAGTGGTAGAAACTCTCGCAGAAATCGCAAGCGATCAAAGGTGCGACTCTGCATGATTTTCTACATTCGCTGCATTTCTTCGCTGGCAATGGCACAATACCGCCCGGGCCCTTCACGTGATGTTTTGACGGTTTGCTGTTCTTGCGCCCAAATTTTGAGTATGGAACTTCTTCTGAAATGGAAACAGTCGAAGATAGATTATAGCACAAATCAATCGAAGCGATTTGTGAGGAAACTATTAACGAAGAGACATCTATCTAAGTAGACAAAGGTCTGATTGATAGTTGCCATTTCCTATCAGAAATAATGTTACATGCAAAAAAACATTTCACCTTCCATGCCAGTAAGCAAATAAGTAGTGAGTGTTGCAATCGTGATTTTAATTTCATCATTCGGTGCAGTTTAATCCATCTAAGCTACATTACTAAACATAGGCGGCAAGAATTCATTCGTTTCAGCTCAGATCATTGAGGAAATGACTTGGCACAGAAACATCTCGTCTATCGCGATTAACCTGTGACAAACGTTCATGTCATTTAAGTAATATTCACTATCTACCCTTATCACCCTATCATCTACAGGGTGGCCGATATGTAACTAACTGGTTTGTATCTTCAATATTTGTGAAATGAAATAAAGTCCGTCCATTTTTTCCAACTTTTATTGAAACTTGAAAATTATGTATGAAAAATATACTAAGTGACATATAAATCCGAACACCCAGTTTAAATGGTTTTATTTTAATAAAAGTTGGTGAATGTATTTATCTTATTGTAAATAACAAGTGAAAAGATCGCCGCCTAAGAATATTGGCCTTAAGGGACCGTTTCTCCACTACCAGGTCCATTGCAAATGAATGGTTTGCAGAACACGGAAGACCTATTGGCATGCGAAGTGTTTACCGACGAATGAGAAGTTTTGGCTTGTTTTCATACCGGCCACACTGGGTCCTCCCTTTAACTTGAGAACACCGACGTAATCGCCCTGAGTGGTGCAGACAACGGTCACTCTGGGATCAGGAATGGAACAGTATTGTCTTTAGTGACGAGTCTCGATTTTGTTTAGGCATGCACGATGGTTGTGCCAGGGTTAGAAGGCGACGCGGTGAAAGGAGGAATCCACAGTTTTTTGTTGAAAGACATGTTCATCACACTGTTGGAGTTATGGTTTGGGGTGCTATAGCTTATGGTTCCAGGTCACCTTTAATCTTCATCAGAGGTAACATGAACGCGCAGCGTTATATCCACGAAGTTCTAGAACCCCATCTTTTACCCTATCTTGACACCCTGGCAGATCCAACTTTCCAACAAGATAATGCCCGACCACATGTTGCAAGAGTCACAATAGACTTCTTTCAACATAATGATGTCACATTGTTACCATGGCTACCAAGATCTCCCGACTTATCCCCAATTGAGCACGTGTGGGATATGATGGGTAGGAGACTGCTCAATTTGCAACGTCCTCCTCAGACTCTAGAAGCACTTCGAGAGGAGTTGGTGGTTGCCTGGAATGAGATACCACAGGAGGACATTGACCACCTGATCAGAAGCATGCCTAGGCGCGTTGGAGAATGCGTAGCACATCAGGGTGCATCCACACATTATTAAAGGTCAAAGGGCTTTAAAGCAGTGCAATCATTTTGAAATTTTTATCATTTACTTATTATGCTTCATTAAGTACTTATACAAAATTTTATTAAAATAAAACCATTTAAACTGGGTGTTCGGGTTTATATGTCACTTAGTATATTATCAGAAAAATGTCCGCCTCTAGAAGCCGCGCAAACCTGAGCCCTCTTGATTCCATTTTCCATCACTTTTTGGTAGATTTCGGGAGGAATATTTTCAATCGCTTCCGTAATATTGTTCTTCAGCTGCTCTACAGTATTTGATTTGTTGGCATAAACCCTATTTTTCAAAAATCCCCATCAAAAAAAGTCAGGAGCCGTTAAATCCGGTGACCTTGGTGGCTAGTTGACATCACCAAATCGAGAAATTAAACGTCTCGGAAATATTGTTCGCAAAAGATTGCTGGTTCCACATGTTTTGCAGGTTAAATAGTTGGATTTGAGGAGTCAGAAAGTTTTGCACCATATCATGGTAGCGCTCGCCAGTGACAGTAAGAGAATTACCCGCAGCGGCTTCAAAGAAGTAAGGTCCAATGACACCTCCATACCAAACACCGCACCAAACTGTGACTCGAGGAGGATGTAGTGGTCGTTGATGGATGACACGAGGGTTCTCTAATGCCCAGATACGACAATTCTGCTTATTAACAAATCCATTCATGTCGAAGTGGGCTTCATCGCTCATTATCAGTTATCGGTAACAATCGTTATTTTGGATATTAAGCTGCAATATTGCACTAACCTGTAGTTCTTGGGTTAACTGAATTTTATATGACCGCAAATGCAAGTTTGTTTTTAAATAGTGCATAATGACGTGCGATGAATACCCAGTTCTTGAGAATGTCTGGTAGATGTCTCAGTGCGCTCCACTACAGTTTCACGAACTCTCGATATTTTCCGGAGTAGAACAGTTCGAACTTGGCCCGACCTTGACTAGCCTGTAACTTCACCTGTTTGTTCAAATTTCCGCACCAACTGACGAATAGTGTTGAAACTGGGCACATTATTTCGATCGAAATCTTGTAGCTTCCGAATCGTTGCAGCAATCGACTCATTAAGTAAACGTTTTAACAATACGGACGCGTTGTGGCATCGTGTAGCGCTCCATGATGAATTGGACACATGTGATTTAAATAACTACTAAGGCGCCACCTACTGAAATGCGTGTATCAAAAATGGCGCGCAATTTAAATGTCAGTTATATATTGGCCACCCTGTATTTTTCACGATACTTTATCACGTTTTGAGCTCTGCTGAGTGACATATTTGTATAAAAGGTTGCAATAAAGAATCTGGTGAAACTCATGGCCATATTTGAACTATTCACACAAAACACTAATAAAACATGTTTTATTTATTTAAAACGTGATAATGATTATTAGCAGCCATTTGGTTGTACGGATCCGCAATATACAAAAAACAAAACTAAGTACGACTCTGTCTCTAGATCTGGCGTTCACAGATCCGTCAGAGTTGAGTGTCACTTGTTGATATAGGATGTTTCGAATGTCACTAGATAAAGTATCGTGAAAAATAGATTACAAGGCCCTGATAAGACTTGATCTGGAGTACTATTCACATGTACAGAGTACTGAAGCTAAAACAATACCGTCCATACTTGACTGTTCACTTGACTTTGGGTACCCGGGTACAGCGGGGTCCGGGCAACGAAAAAGCTGATCGCCTGGCTAGGCTAGGCGTAAAAGAACCTGCATCGGTAGTGAGCCTAGACTGGACATACGCAGTGGCCAGGTCAACACCGCCCTGAATAAATGTATGTCTAGGGCCTAGGAAAAGCGTGGAGAGACACACGCTGGCTACTAGACAGCGATAGAAAATCACCCAACCTTTTGGTGGGCGTTCTCACCAGCCAATGTACACTGAACATACACTTATTTCTTTTGAGGGTGGAGAGAGATCCAACCTGCCCCAGGTGCTGAAAGTAGGCAGAAACAGTGTTCCACTTTCTGGGCTATTTCCCCCATGTATTCGCAGCAATGGAGATTGATGGTGAAGTTGCTTACTCAAGGGAATAGCCAGTCATCCTGGTCTTTATTGGGAGATCAGGAAACTTCGACAGATTGGTAAACTAACATGTGGAATAGTGTTGGTACACTCGTGGTCAGCAAAAAGGGTGAAAGGTGGCTACTACTGACTCTGTTCAGAGGAGGGTCAGGAGGGCAATCTGGTTGTTGATAAATGGTACTTTCTTGGCAAACAGTAAATAAAGGTTCCACAAACAAGCAATTTCATAGCAATCGCAAGACCTCGGTGTTCAAGCTCTGCATTTGACTGTTTCAGCATAATACTCGTAAAATACCCACTGTTTTTATAGAGGGTGTCCCAAAACATGGAATGTAGTTTTATGGAAGAACTATGAAAGTTATTCAAAAACAGTTTTCGCAACCATATTGATATCTTACAGGTTAATATATCTGAACAGTACAGGGTATTGCGTAATTCCGTGACACAACCATGTTTTTTTTTTTTCTAAAGGAACAGTATATTTTATTAGATATTTGGATAGTTTAGTTTTTTTATTATTTGTCTGGAAAATGCCTTTGAAGGCTTTGACCTCCGCCATTTTGCGTAGTTTTTCATTAATCTTTGGAGAGAGGATGAAAACGTACGTCAACTCCAAACTATACTGCCGATAATATTATCAGGATGGTGCAAAACACATTTTTTTTTTCAAAAATTCTTTATGGAACAATGTATAATATCTTTTACACCACCAGATTTGCCTTTTTATAAGCTTTCTTCTGATATAAGGTTTACACTAGTTTATTTGGTCACTGATATGGATAATTTTAGACATTCTAAAAAAAACATATAATTATCTATATAACTATCATATGGAAACAACAACTTCTTCAAATAGTTCCCAGCTTAGACCAGGGCTACTACATCCTATAAATATCTAATTTGTCCTGAAAAAGTCACTTTTAATGTCATTATTTAGTTTTTTGTTTATCTGTAGTCGTTCCCACCCAGACACTGATGTTCCATATGAATTAACTATAGTCTTATGTAGATTGTGGATAATACTAAAATACTTCTTACCATTTTGGAAGTTTTAGAAAGAGTCACACAATCACAAATCAGGCTAATAAAAGCATATAGATCATGTTTTTGACTTTAAATACTGCTTATTTGATTTCCAGGTATGCTTCATTAAGTACTTATACAAAATTTTATTAAAATAAAACCATTTAAACTGGGTGTTCGGGTTTATATGTCACTTAGTATATTATCAGAAAAATGTCCGCCTCTAGAAGCCGCGCAAACCTGAGCCCTCTTGATTCCATTTTCCATCACTTTTTGGTAGATTTCGGGAGGAATATTTTCAATCGCTTCCGTAATATTGTTCTTCAGCTGCTCTACAGTATTTGATTTGTTGGCATAAACCCTATTTTTCAAAAATCCCCATCAAAAAAAGTCAGGAGCCGTTAAATCCGGTGACCTTGGTGGCTAGTTGACATCACCAAATCGAGAAATTAAACGTCTCGGAAATATTGTTCGCAAAAGATTGCTGGTTCCACATGTTTTGCAGGTTAAATAGTTGGATTTGAGGAGTCAGAAAGTTTTGCACCATATCATGGTAGCGCTCGCCAGTGACAGTAAGAGAATTACCCGCAGCGGCTTCAAAGAAGTAAGGTCCAATGACACCTCCATACCAAACACCGCACCAAACTGTGACTCGAGGAGGATGTAGTGGTCGTTGATGGATGACACGAGGGTTCTCTAATGCCCAGATACGACAATTCTGCTTATTAACAAATCCATTCATGTCGAAGTGGGCTTCATCGCTCATTATCAGTTATCGGTAACAATCGTTATTTTGGATATTAAGCTGCAATATTGCACTAACCTGTAGTTCTTGGGTTAACTGAATTTTATATGACCGCAAATGCAAGTTTGTTTTTAAATAGTGCATAATGACGTGCGATGAATACCCAGTTCTTGAGAATGTCTGGTAGATGTCTCAGTGCGCTCCACTACAGTTTCACGAACTCTCGATATTTTCCGGAGTAGAACAGTTCGAACTTGGCCCGACCTTGACTAGCCTGTAACTTCACCTGTTTGTTCAAATTTCCGCACCAACTGACGAATAGTGTTGAAACTGGGCACATTATTTCGATCGAAATCTTGTAGCTTCCGAATCGTTGCAGCAATCGACTCATTAAGTAAACGTTTTAACAATACGGACGCGTTGTGGCATCGTGTAGCGCTCCATGATGAATTGGACACATGTGATTTAAATAACTACTAAGGCGCCACCTACTGAAATGCGTGTATCAAAAATGGCGCGCAATTTAAATGTCAGTTATATATTGGCCACCCTGTATTTTTCACGATACTTTATCACGTTTTGAGCTCTGCTGAGTGACATATTTGTATAAAAGGTTGCAATAAAGAATCTGGTGAAACTCATGGCCATATTTGAACTATTCACACAAAACACTAATAAAACATGTTTTATTTATTTAAAACGTGATAATGATTATTAGCAGCCATTTGGTTGTACGGATCCGCAATATACAAAAAACAAAACTAAGTACGACTCTGTCTCTAGATCTGGCGTTCACAGATCCGTCAGAGTTGAGTGTCACTTGTTGATATAGGATGTTTCGAATGTCACTAGATAAAGTATCGTGAAAAATAGATTACAAGGCCCTGATAAGACTTGATCTGGAGTACTATTCACATGTACAGAGTACTGAAGCTAAAACAATACCGTCCATACTTGACTGTTCACTTGACTTTGGGTACCCGGGTACAGCGGGGTCCGGGCAACGAAAAAGCTGATCGCCTGGCTAGGCTAGGCGTAAAAGAACCTGCATCGGTAGTGAGCCTAGACTGGACATACGCAGTGGCCAGGTCAACACCGCCCTGAATAAATGTATGTCTAGGGCCTAGGAAAAGCGTGGAGAGACACACGCTGGCTACTAGACAGCGATAGAAAATCACCCAACCTTTTGGTGGGCGTTCTCACCAGCCAATGTACACTGAACATACACTTATTTCTTTTGAGGGTGGAGAGAGATCCAACCTGCCCCAGGTGCTGAAAGTAGGCAGAAACAGTGTTCCACTTTCTGGGCTATTTCCCCCATGTATTCGCAGCAATGGAGATTGATGGTGAAGTTGCTTACTCAAGGGAATAGCCAGTCATCCTGGTCTTTATTGGGAGATCAGGAAACTTCGACAGATTGGTAAACTAACATGTGGAATAGTGTTGGTACACTCGTGGTCAGCAAAAAGGGTGAAAGGTGGCTACTACTGACTCTGTTCAGAGGAGGGTCAGGAGGGCAATCTGGTTGTTGATAAATGGTACTTTCTTGGCAAACAGTAAATAAAGGTTCCACAAACAAGCAATTTCATAGCAATCGCAAGACCTCGGTGTTCAAGCTCTGCATTTGACTGTTTCAGCATAATACTCGTAAAATACCCACTGTTTTTATAGAGGGTGTCCCAAAACATGGAATGTAGTTTTATGGAAGAACTATGAAAGTTATTCAAAAACAGTTTTCGCAACCATATTGATATCTTACAGGTTAATATATCTGAACAGTACAGGGTATTGCGTAATTCCGTGACACAACCATGTTTTTTTTTTTTCTAAAGGAACAGTATATTTTATTAGATATTTGGATAGTTTAGTTTTTTTATTATTTGTCTGGAAAATGCCTTTGAAGGCTTTGACCTCCGCCATTTTGCGTAGTTTTTCATTAATCTTTGGAGAGAGGATGAAAACGTACGTCAACTCCAAACTATACTGCCGATAATATTATCAGGATGGTGCAAAACACATTTTTTTTTTCAAAAATTCTTTATGGAACAATGTATAATATCTTTTACACCACCAGATTTGCCTTTTTATAAGCTTTCTTCTGATATAAGGTTTACACTAGTTTATTTGGTCACTGATATGGATAATTTTAGACATTCTAAAAAAAACATATAATTATCTATATAACTATCATATGGAAACAACAACTTCTTCAAATAGTTCCCAGCTTAGACCAGGGCTACTACATCCTATAAATATCTAATTTGTCCTGAAAAAGTCACTTTTAATGTCATTATTTAGTTTTTTGTTTATCTGTAGTCGTTCCCACCCAGACACTGATGTTCCATATGAATTAACTATAGTCTTATGTAGATTGTGGATAATACTAAAATACTTCTTACCATTTTGGAAGTTTTAGAAAGAGTCACACAATCACAAATCAGGCTAATAAAAGCATATAGATCATGTTTTTGACTTTAAATACTGCTTATTTGATTTCCAGGTATAATTAACACATTGAACGCCAACCTAAGGTACTCAAGGATATTTCATTTATTTCGATGCATTCCACGTCAGGTAAACCTAATATAATTTAACACAGAACTCATGACATCACTAAATATCAAGTCAAAAGTAGGTATTTAGGGTCAGTCCTAATGACTGACACAGCACCATTGAAATAGTTCACTGTCAGTCAACATGGCTGCCAATGTGTTGATTAATTATTTCATTCGATTAACTAAACTAGACATGACTTCGACATCCTATAGAAAGCGAGCGTTAAGAGAAACCAAGAAAGAAATTAGTAAATTTTTCATGTCCGTATTAGATATTTATAGAATTACAGTAGCCCTGGTCTAAGCATAGAACTGTAGGAAGAAGTTCATGAATGATACAATGGGGTGGCTAAATAGATAACTATACCATTTTCTAGAATTTTTAGAAATTACCAAATAACTGTTCAAATAAACTGGATTAAATCTTATACCATCATACCACATCCTAAAGTATACATACTTTAAAATCGCCTCTCCAAAATTTAATGAAAAAAAATATAGGGTGTTCCATTTAAAAAACAAGTTTGTTATGCGACGGAAATCTGCAACACCCTGTCCATTTCCAAATAATTTAGAAATACACACCTATGAGATATCTTGCTGGGAAAACTGTTCTTCTATAAAACTACTTTCCATTTTCATTAGGACACCGTGTAGCTGAACAAAAGTTAATATGTTTATCAAAGAATCTCTCTTAATTCTGACTATATCTTATGCAAATAAGATTTGTGCCGCGTTGAAGCAAATACTTCTACCTGATCGCGCGCTTGTTTTTTTTTCAGCAGCATTGACGACCGTGGCCATTAGCTGCGATATTGGTTTATTGTTGCATATCCCATTTTCTAGCGAATACTAGCGCGATGATTTGGCAATCTAGAGTCGAAATGAAGAACCTTTCCCCATTGTATTGCTACCTCAAAGTTTCACACGCGCTGTTAAGATGCAGGCCCAATGGGGAGAAGTGAAGAGATTTCGCGCGAAAATGTCTATCAACAATATTCGACAATCAAGCCAGAACGAGGCAGTTGTACCCTACCTTTATCAGTGCCTGGAAACACGCATGGTACGCTCATGCTCCTAGGCAACTCGAACTCCTTAGGGTTCATCGATGTGGCGGCTTCGATGAGCATGTCCATGGGGCTGAGCCGTGTCTTTTTATTGGCTGAGGAGCATGACGCGGCTGCTACTGCCAGTGGCGTACTGTTAGACCGTTTCGAACGGGTCGCGGGCGCGATGCCGCTTATGGAGTGTGCTCTCAGGTATTTGCAGGAATGGCACAGCCACTCGCCTTGCGGAATGTCGTCCTCCTCTAGTGGAGGGTCACTGAAATTCAAATTTATTGGTGCCAATATACATATGTACTTGCACAGGTCAAAGACACAAAAGTCAAATCTGACTTAAGACAAAATAAAAATAGAGACTAAAACATCAAACAACAAAATAAAAGTTTTGCAGGATAAATCCGTATTATAGAAAGCATAATACTTTTAAATGCTTTTCACTTTTTCTTTATATTTGTTGACTGGCGTGTCACTGGTGCTTTATGGCAGATGATGACACCTTGTTAGCCAGAAGTACTCTGGCATTAAAATACTCTTGAACCTGGTATTGTGTTTGTAAACACTGGGCATTCTGAATATATTAAGGTTGTTCTTTATATGGAGAAGGTAGTTCATGATGTATTGGAGGGCAATGTGGAAATCTCTAAGTCTCTAAAAGCCTGCCTACAATCAGCCCTAAAATCCAATCCCTCAATTATCCAGATGGCCCTCCTCTGAAGCCCAAAGACATGATGTGTTTACGCCACGCATCCCCAGATCAGTAAAGCGTATGACATGAGAATGAAATAAGGCATAATAAGCTGTTTTCAACAAAGATGTACTCACGCATTCCGCTAGGCGTTATAACGCATACAGTGCAGATTAAAGTTTTTTGCCACATGGATATTAATGCTTCATCCAGAGAGGCTGCAGTAAGGAAGAGGCTGGTGTCGCCCGCGAAAAGGGTGAAAGCAGCATCTATGCTTGCTAAAGGCGAGTCATTAATGTGCAACAGGAATAATATAGGACCCAATACTGAGTCCGGCGGAAAGCCGATGGACAGTTCCCTTTTATAAGACACCACTTCTCCCACCCTGAATACCTGGGTTCTATTTCCAAATATGATGTAAAGAGGGAAATAGCAATATCGGTAAAATTATAGTATTGTGGATTAGGAGTTTGTGGTCCACATAATCAAATGCTTCACTGAGATCACAATAAGTAAGTGCAGTATATTTCAAGAACTCGAAAGAGTTCAATATTCTATTCACGAAATCTAGTTTAGCCAAACCTGTGTTCTTATTTTTTCGAAATCCAAATTGAGAGCTTGCTCGACAACCGTTTTCTTCCAAAAAAGACACAAGCCTTAAGGCAATGCATTTATCAACTATTTTAGTAATTATTGGAAGAAGACTATAGTTGGAGATATCATTCTTGCCACCATAGCATTTTTAAGAATTTCTGGAAAGACTCTTTCTCTGAAACAGATTAACCAGTTTGGTTAGCGGAATAATTATAAGATTTTTTATTGTTTTAAGAATAAAGGTAACAAATAACAAAATTCTATTACGTTTTTCGGGTGAAGTAGATTCGTAAGACCATACATCAAGTGAGATCAGAATGTGTAAGTTCGCCAACTTGACGAGTTCTACTAAACCCCATCCGTAAGGCCCCGGTTGCTATTGATGCGAATTTTGATGAAATTTTGTTGTGGCGAGTACGTCCGAGATCCTCGTCAGAACAAGAAGGTTAGACTGTGCGCGTTTTCTAGCATTATGGTTGTGAGTACGTTTCTGCCACCCAGCAAATATGGACGAAGTTAATGAATGTTATTGCCATGAAAGTCCTTTAGTGAAGTAATGTTGTAAAGTGAAAAAATAGAGCATGTCAATCGTTTACTGTCTAGCAGGGACGACAAAGGGGAGTCTGAAATGTCATTTGAAGAATTGCTGGACCAACCGTAAAAGTTTTTCGAGTATTTCAGGGTAAGTGGAATATGTGAATGTGTCTCTCGTAATGAATAAATAATGTACCCACGTCAGAATAAAAATGTACTTTATTTGTTACCAGTACTGTCGAGTTCTGTATCAATTTTTTCTCATTTTTGCAGAGAAATATCTCTATTATGATAATTTTTGTCTCTCATATCCTACAGTGAGCCGTTCTCGCACAAAAGAGTCATCAATTTATGATTGTCTATGGTGAAATAATCAATAAGTACTCAACAACAAACACAGGTCGCACGAAAAAATCGAATATGAACGCTCAAATAGTTCTCTGACGACGGCGTGCATATTCTGACGTGCTGGTCGCTGCCTGTGTAAACACATTCATTGGATGAACTCGTCAGAACAAAATTCCGTCTGAATTCGCACCCATAGAAACCGTCAAAGTCGAAATTAGCTAGAATCGTTAGTTACCATTTTTTTATACTCCAACTACTACGAAGGCCTAAGACCTAAACACCCATGGGGTACCGTGACGCTATAGGGGGATACAGGGGAAAGGGGGACGCCACACGGACTTTGGCGAGGGAACACGTGTGCATGCACACATTCTGGCCCCGCCTACGAGATCCGGCGGGTGGTACCTCTGCGTTCGATATTCAGAGACCGCCTACCACCTACGGACAATCACAACATCCATAGCCAAGAGAAAAATTTCTCTTGGGACGGGACTCGAACCCGCACAGCGCACGGCGACTGATCAGGAGACCGAAGAGTCTACTACTGCGGCCACCGCTGCTGCCCACTTGCAATTATAACTGATGAAGTATGGCTTAGCCTAACTTGTTAGATCTTATGTGAATGGACCACTTTGATCATTTTGAAAACATTCAGATCAATTTACAGAAGTCTGATATGTGAAACATGTTGATCTAAGCTGTGACAGCTGTCAGCAGATTCAATCGATAACAAGGGATATTTAACTAAATGCCACTCAGTGTAACCATTATCAGTTTCAAGTTACAATCAGCTGTAACTGTCAGATAAATAATTATATAATTGTTACTTACAACTGTCATTTATAGCTAATTGCAATAACTCATAATTATAAATATTATTAAACAATAGTTATATGTCTATTAAGAATGCTAATAACTGCTCTGTTGGTCACGTCACGCCTCCGTTTTTCGAAAGTAGCACAAATTGTTTTCAATCAAATTACAAATAAGATTCACGACTCACTTTCTGTCTAGTGTGATTCTGTCGCCAACCAACACAGACATTGCATTTAAGCAATCCTTTCTGTGAACCAGTCAGTCGATATTTTTCTTAATTGATATTTTTTAAACGACGAAAATACCCCTGGTTTGCGAAATATACTAAGTGACATATAAATCCGAACACCCAGTTTAAATGGTTTTATTTTAATAAAATTTTGTATAAGTACTTAATGAAGCATAATAAGTAAATGATAAAAATTTCAAAATGATTGCACTGCTTTAAAGCCCTTTGTCCTTTAATAATGTGTGGATGCACCCTGATGTGCTACGCATTCTCCAACGCGCCTAGGCATGCTTCTGATCAGGTGGTCAATGTCCTCCTGTGGTATCTCATTCCAGGCAACCACCAACTCCTCTCGAAGTGCTTCTAGAGTCTGAGGAGGACGTTGCAAATTGAGCAATCTCCTACCCATCATATCCCACACGTGCTCAATTGGGGATAAGTCGGGAGATCTTGGTGGCCATGGTACCAATGTGACATCATTATGTTGAAAGAAGTCTATTGTGACTCTTGCAACATGTGGTCGGGCATTATCTTGTTGGAAAGTTGGATCTGCCAGGGTGTCAAGATAGGGTAAAAGATGGGGTTCTACAACTTCGTGGATATAACGCTGCGCGTTCATGTTACCTCTGATGAAGATTAAAGGTGACCTGGAACCATAAGCTATAGCACCCCAAACCATAACTCCAACAGTGTGATGAACATGTCTTTCAACAAAAAACTGTGGATTCCTCCTTTCACCACGTCGCCTTCTAACCCTGGCACGACCATCGTGCATGCTTAAACAAAATCGAGACTCGTCACTAAAGACAATACTGTTCCATTCTTGATCCCAGAGTGACCGTTGTCTGCACCACTCAAGGCGATTACGTCGCTGTTCTCGAGTTAAAGGGAGGACCCAGTGTGGCCGGTATGAAAACAAGCCAAAACTTCTCATTCGTCGGTAAACACTTCGCATGCCAATAGGTCTTCCGTGTTCTGCAAACCATTCATTTGCAATGGACCTGGTAGTGGAGAAACGGTCCCTTAAGGCCAATATTCTTAGGCGGCGATCTTCACGGTGTGTTGTTCTACGGCGGCGTCCAGTGCCCCTTGATCTTTGCGTACGGCCTTCTCGAAGCCATGCCTGACAACACCTAACCACAGTGTCTACACTTCTTTGCACTCTAACTGCAATTGCCCGAAAAGAAAGTCCAGCTTCCCGAAGTCCCACTATACGGCCCCTATCAAACTCACTAAGTTGACGAAATCGTACAGGTCTCCGTACTCTAGGCATCGTAACCGATCGTAAAGGATGTCAAGAACCAAAATCCGCCAACGTTAATTCTTTACTGCGGCTGAAATATTCATTTTTAGAGCGTTAGTGAATTAAAAAAAAGCAGTATAAAAACCGGAATGTCCAACTGATAAGGCTGAAAATTTGTTCACTTGTTATTTACAGTAAGATAAATACATTCATCAAATTTATTAAAATAATACCATTTAAACTGGGTGTTCGGATTTATACGTCACTTAGTATACTTGTAAAGTCTGGTTTTATTGATCAAGTTGTTCAAGGGGGTATTTAAAACATGGACGCATAAAATGGGTACACCAATTTTTCTGGGAAAACTTTTTGTTCGATAACAAAGAATGAGAAAACGCGTTTTTGGGATTCAATCGAAAGTGTTGGCAGGAACGACAAAAGTCTTCAAATAAGATTTTTAGATATTTATAAGACCTACATAATGAGACTACACGTAAAAAGATCCGACTAATAGTGAAAACGTTATGGCTGCAAACTGAGGCAAAATGCAGGTTTTGGCACTTGTGGATAATGCGACGATAATTTCACGCAGCTACTTGAAATTCTTCAAATCCAAAGATTGCTTACTTCTAAATACCCACAACAAAGTTGAAGTCGATTGGTCTAGTAGTTTTTTAGAATTTCTAATCGTTTATCCCAATACACCTGTCTTCCGGCCATCACTACTAGTTTATTGATCAATACGAGGGATGTCTTTTAAGTTTTGCATATAGAAACATAGTAGGTCGCGCGGATCGAACGTCAGTACTGAATCTTAACCTCACTCTTTTGTAAACTTGAATTCAAAGTTTCACAACAATACGTGCAGTGTTCTCACTAGAGTGAATTTTTAAGTGTCACAAGTCATTATAAATATGGAACTCAACCGAGAACATTTTCGCGCCATAATTTATTACAACTTTCAGAGACAACAAGAATGCCTTGCTGAGTTACTGTCTGTTTTCGTCAACGAAGCGCCACATTAGTCGACAATTTCCAGTTGGTATGAAGAATTCAAACGTGGACGGGTGAGTCTTAGCGACGATCCCAGGGTGATTGCACCAAAAACGGCAGTCACCCAGGAAGATGTCGATGCTGTGTGCAAACTCATCATTGAAGATAGACATGTGACATATCGCGAGATTGAGGCGTCCTTGAAGATCTCAAAGACCTCAATTCAAAACATTTTACATGAAGAATTAGGAGTAAGAAAATTACTTTTTCGTTGGATACCCCACCTGTTGACTGAAGATCAGAAAGCAGCCAGGGTTAATTGGTGTCAAAAAACGTTTGACCGTTTCAATTTCGGAAACTCAAGAAATGTGTTAGTAGTAATGAATCGTGGATTTACTGTTATGAACCAGAAAATAAACGACAGTCGGCTGTTTGGGTGTTCCAAGGTGAAGAAAAGCCAACAAAAGTCATCCGTTCTCGAAGTTTTTCAAAAAAGATGGTCGCGACATTTGTGTCAAAAGCGGGTCATATTGCAACAATTCCTCTTAATAAGCAAAGAACTGTTACTGCGGATTGGTATACCACCATTGTTTGCCAAAAGTCATCACCGAGCTTCGAAAAATCAACCCCGAAAGAAGAATCATCCTCCACCAAGACAATGCAAGCTCGCACATAGCCCAAAAAACAAGGCAGTATTTAACGGAAGAAAACGTGGAATTATTGGACCATCCTCCATATAGTCGCGATCTAAGTCCTATCGATTTCTTTACTTCCCCGAAAATCAAAAATAGACTGCATGGTCAAAGGTTCCAGTCACCAGAATAAGCAGTTCTCGCATTCAAAAATGCCGTTTTGGATCTGTCAGCAAACGAGTGGAATAAGTGCTTCGAAAATTGGTTCGAGCGCATGCAGATGTATATTAATCTTCATGGAGAATACTTCGAGAAACAATAAAGTCATTTAAAACTACCTACCGTGTTGTTTTATTTTCATATGCAAAACTTAAAAGACATCCCTCGTATACAGGGTTCGTTCAAAGGGTATTTTGTTGCAAAATACACGTGTTTACCTTGCCGACATGAATCACAAGCCATTCCAAAAGATAATTGTTATTTTTATGCGAAAAAGGAAGGGTTACGTTTTTTTATGGTCTAAATATGTATGCACAAGAGTATGGAGAAATGTTGGATATAAAATTGCTGTCTTCGGAAGAAAAGACGATGGACACATCCGTTTTGTTTTAGAATGAGAATAAAAACGTATGTTTTTTAAATATCGTAGCGACTCTGTTCAATTACTCACAAATACGAATATATATATATATATATATATATATATATATATATATATATATATATACATATATATATATATATATATACGTATATTCAAATAAAATGAGTTCCATTGCTGAAACTGTGCATTTACTGTTTGAATTTAAGCAGAATGCGGTATTAATAATACTACTTTCATCTGTCCGGCCGAAGGCTGTTTCATGCTTATAGGCAATAATCAGCATGGTCTAGGGTTGCTCCCTAAATAAGATAATGAACAGAAGCAGAGCAGGTACGAGGTCTATCAAAATACAACAGTATAAAGTGCCATCTAATGTACTATCATCAGTATAAAGGGAAAACCAAAGAAATCAATACAATATACATACATAATTCTTTATACGAATAAAGAAAGCATTGCACTTTTTGCATAATGAATGAGACAATTGCAAGTGTGTTGTGAGATGAAACTAACTTATGAATAATATAGTGTAGCAATTAGATATTGATTTCATAAGACAGATGATTCAATTCACAGGTCTAGCAACTCCTGTTGTAGATTTGAGTGTTTTTATTTTTTCAGAATGCTTATACAGACTAATAAAACTTTACTTACTTATTTCTGTTGAATATAATTTGAATATATTATTAGGGAAATCTTTTATGGGTCAAATTGATAGAGACTGACAGTTTAAATAATTATACACCCTGTTCAGAATATACCATTTGAAAAATCAAGAAATGCTATTCAAAATTTTAAGTTTATGATAATAGGAAATCCATATACTTGAAGGACTTTCCAACTCTGGAAATAAGAGCCAACTAATTAGATCCATCACTCCATCTGAAATTTACTTTTCTGCCTATCAAAGGTTCGATGCCTAGTATCTTTACCATTAGAGATAACGAGAATTAAATTTTAATGTTATATTTTTCTTCAAAATTTGTAAGTTTTTTATTTGCACCTTTTCACCACATTTCAACATCAATTTAGATATATTAATAACAATTATATCTGAGAATTTATGTGTTCAAAGAATCTCACAATCCTAGTAAATCATGCAATAATGCATAGGGTACATACTGGCAACCCAAATGAAAACTAGATGGGCATTTGTCACAACAGATCAGGTCACCACCTTCCCCACAAGCATCGCAACTGTCATGGTTGTGACCTTTGCCAGGCCTCCGGAAATATGGATGCTCAGTTGACTGTTTTTTCTTGTCTTTTGATTCTTCACTTTGAGGAGGAGCGATGAGGGCTTGGATTTGCTGAAATATAAGGATTTACATAGAATCCAGTTACATTCGTACAAACGTACGTTATAAAGTAAATCTCCGCCTCTGTCGGGGATCCCCAACTTTGGATACTGGGAAGTTTCACAGCTATCGCGTGTTTCCAGGAATGCCGCCGGCGCGGCACCGGGGATTTCCAGTAATCGACTCTGGGAATTTTTATAGTGCGGAATGAGGTCAGGTAGTTTTTTAGAATGACTGTTAGAATGACAAATTCGCGCAAAGCTATAGGTTTGAAAGAAAAGATAGACATAAATTATCGAGAGTGGCATCGGAAATTGCGAAAAGGAAAAATATGGCAAAAACAACAGTAGGTCCAGATGTGGATCAAGCTCTTATACGATGGTTTGAGGTGCGAAGAACCGAAAATATTCTTATAAGTGGTCCAATTTTAAAAGCAAAAGCGGAAGATTTATCCAACGGATTACACGGTGCACTACGGGTTGGCTCGAGCGTTTCAAATAGATAAATGTCGGCAACGTGAAGCAGGAGATGTTAACAAGGAAGCTGTGGTGAACTGGTTAACGGATAAATGGCCAGGCATTGCACAAAATTAAAGCTGTGAGGATATTTTTAATACGGTCGAAACCGGACTATTATATACAGGGTGGGCCATAAGAGTGTTGGCGATTTAAATCTTAAATTTCTCGTAAACGCAGGCGCGGGTTGAGGAGGGGGGATAAGCTGTTAGCAGCGCCGTTGCCTGGAAATTTAGTCGCCATGGAGCCGTACACAGGAGCGCAACGTGCATTTTGTATCCGAGCGTATTATGAAAACAATAAATCGGTTATTACTGCACGACGTTTGTATCGACATGAACACGGTTTACGCGATTTAAAAGAAGTTCCAAGCGCCAATGTGATACGGAAATGGATCAGAATGTTCGAAACAACCGACTCAAGAGTAGCAATAACAGCTCGGTAGTCGTCCAGTTTCTGCAAGATCAGCCGACAATTTAGAGCGTGTTCGTGTTTCAGTCCAGCGAAATCCGCATCAGTCAACACGTAAGAGAAGTCAGGCTTTGGACATCAAAAGAACGAGCTTGCGGCGAATTTTGAAGCGTGATTTTCATTTGAAGGCTTATAAGATTCAAGTAGTCCAGGAATTAAAACCAGATGATGTCAATAACCGACTTAACTTTGTCAATGTGATGCTCGACCGAATCAACAGTTTTAACAACGTGACGTTTAGTGATGAGGTCAATTTTCACCTCAATGGCCATGTAAACAAACAAAATTGTCGGTTCTGGTCCGAAACTAATCCCCGACGCTTGCATGAACGTCCACTTCACAGCCCTAAAATAGTTTTTGAGGACAAAAGAGGGCAAGCGATGGCAGTTAAAGCTAACAATTATTGCAAAATCAGAACAGACTTTTTGGTGCCAGCTTTGCAAGAGATCCAAGGCAATACCTCCAGAATGTGGTTTCAACAAGATGGGGCCACATGTCATACATCTAGGGTATCTATAGAGCTGCTGAAAAATGTCTCCCGGAAAACTCATGTACCACCAAGCAGCCCCTATGGCCTATGGGGCTACCTCAAATCGGTGGTCTACGAGAATAATCCGACTAATTTAGAGCAGCTGAAGAGGAAAATTGTTCAGGAAAGTAACAAAATACCGAGAACAACTTTTCCACGAGTTTTCCAAAATCTGCAGCTTGGGTCTCAAGAGTGCCAAGCAGCCGAAGGAAGTCATTTGAACACTTAAAATTCCTATCTTTCTACTTTTTAAAAATACAATTACTTTTCTTTTATATTGTGTAGTTATTTTTTAATTGAATAGTGAAATTGCCAACACCTTTATGGCCCACCCTGTATATATATATATATAAATTTAGAGGAGAAAAGTGTGTGGGAGGCAAACAATCAAAGCTGAGATACACCGTTTTGGTTTGCGCAAATATGACGTAGTCAGAAATGTTAACTTCTTGTTATTGGTAAGTTGATGATGAGTTCAGACATTTTTTTTAATTATTTAACGGAGTGGGATGAAAAACTAAGACATCAAAAAAATATTGCTTCTAGTTGACAATTGTGCAGCTCATCCTTAAAATGTAGATCTGACAAATATCAGATTAGAATTTTCACCTCACAATTGCACCTCGGTCGTACAACCAATCGATCAAGGCATAATAAACTGCCTTAAAACATATTATCCTAGATATTTTGTGTATTACCTAATCCGAGCATTGGATAATGAAGAAACTTTCAACATAACAATTTTAGACTCTATAAAATTAATTGCACAATCATGGAATGAAGTTTCAAAAACCACTATTGAAAACTGCTTTCAACATGCTGGTCTAGTGAAGTCAATCGACTAGTTTGATTCAGATGATCACTTGCCTCTGAATCAGTGATAAAAGAAATGCAAAAGTGTCCCCCTAAGTGTTTTTTTGCGAAGTCACCGCCCAGATGTAACTACTGTGGAAAAATATCTTCCTGAACTAGATAATTTTACCACCATCGACGATAATTTGGTAACAACAGAGACCTTAACAGATTGTGACATTAATGCTGAAGTTGTAGAGTCAAACTATTCAACGAATGATCTAATTTCTGATAATGAAAGTGGCGATGATAATGGACAAGTGAATGAACCAATTTCAAGTTATTCTGAAGCACTTTGTGCAATTAAAACTGTTACAAATTTCTTACAATTTACTGATTACGGATCTGATGATACAATACAAGCCTTGTTAAAAGTTGAGAAGCACATCCATAATATAAAACTGTGTAAAAAAGTCAACAAACAAAAATAAGTTATTTTTTCGAAAAATATAACTGTATGTGTAATTACATATGTAATTGTACATATTTAATTTGATTATGTCCTATTTCAATGTTATATGTTACATAATCATATTACTATGTCTTTTTTATATTACATACCTATAATGTATTTAGTTAGTTCAGTCCTTTAATTGAACTAAATAAAAATTTACATATTTAATTTTATGGGAAAATAGATAAGCCTGAAAGGTATATTAAGATTTTGCTGCCCAGAAACAACAAAAATATAATAACATTGGTAATGAAGATGTAAATCTTAGGACTCAGTTTGTTATCTTACAATTTTGTAAGAAATTGTGTACATGCTACATATATCTGATTCTTTGGTAGTCATATAACCCAAAAGCCTTCGGTCTAAAATCTAACAGACCCTTCTCGATGGATCAGGTTGTCACAAAACAAATGAATAAGTGAAGACTACTACTAGATTTACAAGCAATTTCTACTAAAGGAACATCTAAACCTTGTAGCATAAGTTCAAAGTTTTGTAGGTTAGCTAATGATGTTATAGTTGTGTAGATTAGCATTTGAATAAACTTGGTAATTATTATTGCAATAGTTCTGTATTGCTTCATGCAAAATTTATATGAATGTAAATCAGATACATTCCTTTAGTAGAGTGAACAATAAAAAAACTTTGTCAAAATACTAAATTATTAGGCATTTCTAGAGCACTCTAACCCAAACATTGTTATGCAGATCATTAATATGCAGTTTCATAAAGTGTCCTTCAGGACTAATAAAGAGTTATCTTGATTAACAGAAAGTCTACATAGCAAAGTGGACAGAGGATTCTTATAGAAAGACCAATAATTGCGAATATTCCATGAGAATTTCAAGAATATATGTCATAGATTTCAACTTTAATTCCATATTCAGAGGATGCCCCTCAGTTGCCTAGAATTACGCCTATGCAAATGTACAGGTAGAACATAGAATGCCATGAGCAGTTAATAGAGTTCCATGTAACAATGAAACTACAGTTGAGCAGATTTATATAAAGGTTGGGAATGAGAAGTTTTTGTAATGAGGTTCTTCGAATATCCCATTTTTTTGCGAATTCAATTATTATACCTGCTCCGCCATTTTATAGCCTTAATTTTAGTGGCAAAAACAAAAGAACGATTACTTACATCCATAAGCCCTCCAGAGGTGTCAAGATCATATTCTACGTTACTTAGCTTATTCATTTTGCTTAACAATAGTTGTTTTTCCAATATTTCTATAAATCTCCACAAACAACCAACGTCTTTATTGGTTATTTTTTCTGGTAATCCATATTTCAATACTCCTTCAACTGAAACTTACGTCACTAGTAGCTAACACACACTCTCTTGGCTTAATTCTAGAGAGCATTACTATGAGTATTAATTTATTTAAATAATAAATATTATTTTCAACCAATTATTTACAAAAATTTTACTTGACATTTTTATGTAGTTGGCGCCGTTGCTGGCTCTTACTGTGCCACTGGGTAGGGATGGGCAAAACTAACCGGTTAATTGAATAACCCGTTTTTCTAAATTAATTAACCGTTTTTAACAGGTTATTTCACAATGTAGGGTGTAGGGTTAACAGGTCAAAAACGCAATAGCTGGAAGGAAGCTTTTTCTATCTACAGAAATCTCAGCAAATGTGGGCGTAGTGAATACGCTCCACATGCATAGCTTTGCTGCTTTGAGGTAGCTCTAGGTTCCAATAGATGTACTGTAGTCACAAAACGCCTTTTTTATGTCATCGTCGTGTTCCCCGTATTTATTATTATATAACTTGAATTGATCTATCAAGGAAGTTGGAAGTCGTAAGTTTGAACAAAAATGCCGTTTTCTGCACGTTTACACCGGGTCCTATGAGTTATCTAGCCGTTTCTCTAGTAAACTCGTTTTGTAGCTGTACGTGTTTCGTGTTGCTTAAACGTCAGCGACCATAGCGGGCAAGCGTGGAATCAACCATTTGCACGCTGAAAACTACCTAATCTGCAAGATGACAGTTCGTCGGGTTTTTGACGCTTTTTACATAATACAATAAGGCGTCTTCTATAGTTCACCGGTTGAGCCACCGGTGCAACAAATTAACCAATTTTACTTCTTTTAATTTCCATCTGAGCGATCGGTTGTACACATAAATCAAATCCAAGCGAATAACCAAAATTTCTGTGTTATGTGCCGCGGTTATAAGATGGTTCAAGATGACACACGGGTTGATGACGTCAGTTACACGAATCGCTTGAACGCGTTGGTTTTAACCGCGGTTTTGTTGCAAGTTGTTTATTTTAGAAAAGCGCGTCTATAATCTCTGATTATTTTTATTATCACTTAATAATCGGTGCTTTTTCGTCTAGAACTGTATATGGCAAGTTTAAATAAGAAACCTTTCATAATATTCATGGGAGAAATATTTTTTCAGATTTTTTTTAATGATGGAACCATGGCTTTGTAGCTATGATAACTTTCAATTCTCTAAATTTTTCCGCATGTCAAAGAAAACATTTATTGATTCAGCAGAAATGATGAAAAAAGAAATTAGCAAAACCGTATACAGGTGGATATCATCTAGTGAGTTTATATGGCCATATTTTAATATTCTTGTTGTATATGGCTACACAGGATACTTTGTTAAGCATAGGAACTAGATTTAAAGTGTCCCCAACAACCGTAATGAGTATAACTAATAAGGTGCTCCACTTTATGGTAAAACTGAAGTCAGCCTGTATCATTTTTCTCAAAAATGAAGCTGAAGTACAATAACAATATCCAATACCCGGCAAAATTCTAACTTGTCACATTTCAAATAATAACCAGAAATATAAAACTACTCTTGAGTTGGGTAAATACCACAATTTTGCGGTTATAACTATGACATAACAGCTGATTCGTGACGTCACGGATCTTATAACCAAACTGATAACTACACTCGCTTGAACGGATTGGTAAATACCAACCCAAAATGGTAAATACCATTTCCATTTGGTTATCCGCTTGAATTTGATTATAGTTTATAGACAAGTTTGGTGTAACGCTGTGCCGGTTATAGTTGACATATAAGCCGGTTCATTTATCAAGAACCGCCCATCCCCACTACTGGTGCCGTTTGGTTTATTTTTGCGTACGCATTCTCAATGACACTTGGAAACTATCCTATTCGTTGGCGGTTAAATCAAAAAGAGCGTTTTTTATGAGGCTTTACTAGAAAATAATGGAAACTTTTTGAAGAATTTATCTTCATTCTTCAAAACCAGTAGAATTCTGCATAAAAGGCAGGAAAATAGGCTTTTCATTTTTAGGGCCGTATCGCCAGTCGTTCGTACACTTGTAGAACGTCTTTATGGCCTTGATTTACATAAGTCTTTTCTCTCTTTCAGGAAGACTGGGGTATTTCTAAATTTCTACTATTTTGTGTCAGCGCTCTCCTATTGTTATGTTAAGTTATGTTTTCTTTTTGATACGTAGGAAATTTCAGGCTGATAAAACAGATGATATAAATCAAAAGCATTAACAATTTGATGGAATAGATATTTATAACATAACACCAAAATAGATTGCTGTCACGCAATAGTAAAAAACTACGAAAATCAAGCCGGCCACAAAGGCGTCCTAAAATAAATTGTAGGACGCCTTTATGTCCTTGATTTTTATGGCCGATTGCACCAATATTTTCTTAAGGATAGAATTACAAAGGAGACATTAAAATTTGGGGATCGCCTAAAATGTTCTGGGTTGCACCAACACATTCTGGGGTTTCCTCATATTTCCTTAACTAAGCTTTCCTCAAACTTGACAGCTCTACAGGAAGCTAGTGATTTTGTCATGTTATGATGCAGTTGTCTGCCCTGCCTGAAAATAGTAGATGTTTTGTTCTGAAAATGACATTTCACATATACACATTGAGGTTATGTCAGGGGGTCAGGAACAGTGTTTTTAGTTGGTGATCAATCCGTTGGATGCCGCTGGTATCGCTGTTGTCGTTAAATACTTTTATTTTTTGTTTATGTGTGGTTAAATTTGAGTGATTACAGCGCTTGTTTATTGCAGCATGTAAGTATAGTGATATAATCTAGTTTTATAGGCTAAGATGATGCGTACAAAACTTCAGGGCCGTCGACAAGAGAGGAGCTCGTGGCTCGGCGCTGAAGGGAGCACGAGGCTCGCTTACTGAACTGATGGATAGACGTCCTTAGGTTCGCTCATGTCAAGAAGAGGGCCCGAGAATATTTCGGCATGGGGGCTCGAGAATTTTTCGGCATAGGAGCCCGAGCTTATTTCTCAACGGCCCTGCTTATCTAAATATGTTTGCTACAATCATCAATTTTAATATTGTATCATTACAGTATTACTACATTATTACAACTGCCAAAGTTAAATTTGATTTTGTTTATGTTGCCATGTCTAGCAACATTTCTATTTCCTTGAGTAATTTAACTTGAACATATTTTTGTAACTGAATGTTGTTTTTCAGAAACCATGTCTCGGTACCGCAAATGCGCAGTTAGAGGCTGTCAGGACAGTGTTTCAGTACGACATAGATTTCCAAACCCAACGAAATTTATGTATGTTTTTGTGCAATGGGTGGATTGTATTGGTAATGAAGCAGTGAGAGATATAGACCCCATAACTGTTTATAATAGATATAGAGTGTGTCATGCACACTTCACAGTGGAAGACAATTATGGTAACAACAGACTTAGGAAGGATGCTGTGCCATCACTAAATCTTCCTGATCAACAAATATCCAACGCAACTGATGAAATTCTTGGTATGTTGGTTTGTTTAATTTTTAGTATCACCCAATTTTACATATCTCAACTTCAATTACATATATTCAGCTTTTTGGAAACTATTATAAGTAGTGACTTTCAACAGTGTTTAATACAAGTGATTGAAACTACATAACTATAGTATGCATATTTTACATGACTGGTGAGGCTACATGCACCTTTGTGTTGTCTCCTGCTCCACCCTCCTGGTTTGGCATTGGCAGACCACACAGTGCATGTAGCAAGTCACATAAAATATGTGTGAACATTGTTGGGTTTGGTGTCTTTCTTCAATAAACGAAGTATCTAGTTAATATTTTCCATTTCAACTCATTGATGGGAATTATTTATATTTGGAATAAGTTAGACTGAGCTCCAGTTAACACTGGGAATGTTATAAGGTGACTATTTATACAGTGAAATTAGAGATCACATTATCTTAACTGCAAACATCTCATTGGTAGTTGTTTCAATCATTCCCAGAATGCGCTCCAAAACAGTTTATTGATGATAGCGCAGTAACTGTATGAAACATTATAAAATTGATCATGTAATTTTTTTTTTTTGATAGTGTAAATTGTGTGGTTACAGGAAAACCATCAACTTCAGCATCATATCAACAGTTGGGAGAAGTTTGCTCAGTTACAACTTCACAACCAGGAAATCTTGATGTAACTACAGTAGAACCCATTGAGGACCATTATTCAGAAACAAGTGAGTAAAGTAATTTTGCATGAATCTCTTAGCCTATTATACCAAGGGAAACATTGTTTTCCAAAAAAAGCAAATCTTACTAGAAGTTCTTCAAAATTGTGAAAGTTTGAAAACAAAATTGTTTTCTATACATATACTAAGTGACTTATAAATCCGAAGGCATGCACGATGGTTTTGCCAGGGTTAGAAGGCGACGTGGTGAAAGGAGGAATCCACAGTTTTTTGTTGAAAGACATGTTCATCACACTGTTGGAATTATGGTTTGGGGTGCTATAGCTTATGGTTCCAGGTCACCTTTAATCTTCATCAGAGGTAACATGAACGCGCAGCGTTATATCCACGAAGTTCTAGAACCCCATCTTTTACCCTATCTTGACACCCTGGCAGATCCAACTTCCAACAAGATAATGCCCGACCACACGTTGCAAGAGTCACAATAGACTTCTTTCAACATAATGATGTTACATTGTTACCATGGCCACCAAGATCTCCCGACTTATCCCCAATTGAGCACGTGTGGGATATGATGGGTAGGAGATTGCTCTAGAAGTCCTTCGAGAGGAATTGGTGGTTGCCTGGAATGAGATACCACAGGAGGACATTGACCACCTGATCAGAAGCATGCCTAGGCGCGTTGGAGAATGCGTAGCACATCAGGGTGCATCCACACATTATTAAAGGTCAAACGGCTTTAAAGCAGTGCAATCATTTACTTATTATGCTTCATTAAGTACTTATACAAAATTTTATTAAAATAAAACCATTTAAACTGGGTGTTCGGATTTATATGTCACTTAGTATAACAATACCTACTAATAATAATAATTTTAATTTCAAATCACATCAGCATAATATAAACTTTAAACGAAGTTTGGTCAACTTTGACTATTAATCACTTGCATTTATAATTAGGAATGGAACATTTTATTGAATTTATTGTCTTGTAAAAATACAGTTGTAATGGATTCTGAACATATATGTAATATAATATCAATTTCATTCTTTATTTCAAGGTTCCCTCAAGAACAGAATCTGGATTATTGCATAAGTTACATGTAACCAGAGAAACCCACTTAAGTCTAAAAGCTAAGAAGCTATATAAGATAGCCAGTCACCTCTCTAGAGCTAATAGAAGACTAAGATGTACAAGGAGGTTGATTAGAAGTACCAGAAGTACAAGATAAGTATTAAATGAGGCATTGCAGCATTTGGACAGCACTGTAGCTACTTTTATCAAAAGCCAGATCACACTGGCTGGTAGTAAATCACAGGGACGGAGATATAACCTAGAAGACAAATTGATGGGACTTATACTTATACTTCATAAACAAAGTGGTAGGGGATATCGAGCATTATCAAAAATATTTGCTTTGCCCTCAAAAAAAACAATAATGCAGCTATTAAACTGGATTCCCATCAATCCAGGGGTAAATGATGTGATTTTTAATAATCTTGCAGAAGTTGTTTCTGGCTTAGATGAAAGCAGCAAGTATTGTGCTGTAATGTTTGATGAAATGAGTCTGGACCCCCATATACATTTAAAAGTTGCAACCAAAGAATTTGAGGGCTTTGAAACAAATAATGATGAACAAAGAAGTGCAGTTATTGCAGATCATGCATTAGTTTTTATGGTTAGAGGGCTTGTTAAAAATTGGAAGCAACCTCTAGCATACACATTTTGTAGATCCTCTACAAAAAGTGTAATATTAGTAAGGTTATTGAAGAAAATAATAACAAGGTGTCAGCAAGCTGGGCTAAAAGTTATCTGCACAATATGTGACCAAGGAACAACTAATCAAGCTGCAATAAATTACTTAATGAGATATTCAGTACCATCAGCATCAGAACATCCTACAAGAAAATACTTTTTTCTCAATGGAGTGAAAATTATCCACATGTATGATCCTCCTCACTTAATTAAGGGCATAAGGAATAATTTGCTGACAAAGAATTTAGTGTGGGAGTCAGCTGAGGACAAGTACGTGGCTAGTTGGCAGAACATAGAAACAGCATATGCTATAGACAATGCTGCTGGAAGCTTAAGGGCAATGCCAAAATTGACAGAATGCCATGTCAATAGAAATTGTATAAAGAAGATGAAGGTTTCATATGCTACCCAAGTATTCATATATATTCATGACTATTTTTACCTTTTTAGGAATAGTGGGCATACAAGGTGAAAAATTATCCGAAACTGCACAAGGAACAGCAAAAGTTCTCAAGTTTTTTGATGATCTCATGGATAGTGTCAATGGGTACAGCCTATATCCATCCAGTGGGAAACCCCTGAGGTCTGCTGTATCTCGATGCACAGATCACTTTGAATTCTGGGTTGAAGCTCGTCAAACATTAAGAAAGATGTATTACCAAGGTTTCTATACTACATTTTATGCTCTGTAAAATTTTAATGATAAGAACAACAGATGAGCAGAATAATTTGTAGCATTTGATGTGTAAACACATATTCAAAGATTCGTATACATTATCTTGATCAATTCAATATTTTACTGTTGAAACCTTTCATAGCCAGTGTATAATGAATAATTCTGGACTGTAACTGTTAGGCCTAATTTCACGAAGATTATGAAATACTAAATGGATTTACCATCACATAAGCCCATTTTGATATGCTCTATTGTAATAGTGAACATTATTTCTTGAAATCCTCATCAGAACACTGAACAAACATCGGTTTTATATAAAGATCCTACATTGTCTATATGAACCTCACCATTACTCACAAATTTATAAAATTACTGATTGGGTATTTAAATTATTGATGAAATATTTGTAGTATGATAAGCTAATTAAAACCGTATTGCAAAGCTTCATTACCTAATTAGTGGAATTTGCACCGCAGTTTGCTTTGGCGAATTCATTGGCCCCGCCACTGGAATGAGCGAAACGTGTGTAAATAGAAATTTTTGTTTGTCAATTTGTAATGTTTTGTGAGTTTTTTTAAAGTAAAATAGTGTAGTTCCTGATAGATCCTAGTGTCAAAAACCTGTGGAAGTGTTTGATATCCTGAGTTCTCCGTATTTGCTCCAAAAACGCCGTTTGTAACATCTTTGTTTTTGTATACCTGGACCTAACCTCTCAGCAAATCCGATCAGCAGTTTCGCAGTGTTGCCACCTTTAGTTTTCCCTGGTCTGAACCAATGGGGTATTTTCCAACTTGGTGATATTGTCCTATTGATGGCTGAAATCGATTGTTTACACCATTTATCAATTGGTATACACTTTGCACGCGCTTTTTTCACTCATTTGCTGAAAAAAATACATTTGAAATTCATACCACCAAAGTGGGTTCATTTAAACTTCATGTTTGTCCCTCCGAAAAAATCAGCCAATAGGAATCGATTTTTTTAAAGGTTCTCATTAGAATGTGACGATATTTTTATGAAGGATAAGCATCTGCGCTATTGCCATGCACTAGGGAATTTCATGAAAGTTCACGACTTAGCAACGCTTCTTTATTCCGATCAACAGTGTTGTCTCAATGGTGTACCTGTCTATATTATGTATGTATGTATGTAGGTCAACATAACTTGGCAACATTGTGGTTCAACGAGGGTCAAACCGTTGACTTTTGACAGTGACAGAGTTGCGTACCGTGTACCGTGTTTCGTGCTGTTGATTTTGTGTTATCCGTTTTGTAACCTTTATATTATATATTGAATTCTTTTGAACATTACAACAAAATGTCGGTAAAAAAGTGTCTGATTAAAGTGTGTTCAAACACAAGTATTAATTCGCCTGATAAAATATTCTTATCAGTTCCGATAGATCTTGACATGAGGATTCTTTGGTACCAGGCTGCAAGTGTTGAAGGTCCCATTCCTACCACTATGTTATACTGTTGTGAAGATCATTTTGATGTAAGTTTATTAACAGAGCTAAAGTTTTTCATATTATATTAAATCTCGGTTTATTTTCAGTTGGCAGATGATGCAGAAAACTGGCAATATTACAAGACAATTGGGCAGAGGTTACGACTAAAACCCGGCGTGAAACCACACAGGAACCTGTCAGTTCAGAGTTTAGGTACGTCCCAATTAAGTCCACCATCAAAAAAGAGGAAAGCTGAGATGTTAGAAACATTAGGAAAAAAGCTTCACTGCAAGAGAAAACCAAGGGCAAAATTATTTGATGAATCGCAGCCAGGTATATGCAGAGATCTGCATCATGATGAATCTTGCCAGCAAAACTCGAGTTTGCTACCCCTGAAGAAAGCAACCAAAGGAGTCCAAGTTATAGTTGATACGAAAACAGTGTCAACCAGCACACTACCTCATACTGCAGAAAAGGCTGTTGCCACTAGTCATCCCAAACGAAAACAGTTGGTTGAAAAGTGCACAGGGATTTGTAGTGATAGCACTAATGGCTCAAGTGGTAGTTCCTCCCTGCAGCTATCGAGCACTTCATCAGAAAGCAATGGAGCAAGACTGAAGACATCAAAAGAGGAACTAGAAATATCTAAATTAGAGAACAATAGTCGGTTTTTCTTAGGTTTGCCTGAAGACTGTTTCTATATTGTAAATTTATTAGTTGAAGAAGGTGGACTGGATTACATTGATGTTTTGATCACAATGAAAAAAATTAGGACAAATGATCAGTTTTCAAGAATAGGAATTGATTTTGGTAAAAGCACAAGTGCCATATCTAAAATTTTTAATAAAACTGTTGTAGTAATGGCTCCTTTAATGACACAGTTGATTGTTTGGCCTCCCAGTTGGAAAATCAAAAAATTAGTACCAAATCAATTTAAAGCCTATTACAACAATGTACAATCAATTATTGATTGCTTTGAAGTTGAAATTGAAAAACCTTCAAATGCACTGCATCAGGCTAAAACATGGAGTGAATATAAAAAGTGTAATACTATAAAGTATCTTGTGAGTTGTACTCCTAATGGGCTGATAAACTTTATTTCTAGTGGGTTTGGAGGACGTACAACTGATGTACAAATTGTTGAGAAATCAGACTTCATTAATGTGATTCCAGAAAACTGCATAATAATGGCAGATAGAGGTTTCAAACACATAGAAACTATACTGCATAGAAAAAGCGCATCATTATTAAGACCTCCAAGCATTAGTGTGAAACAAAAACTCGCCAAAGCAGAAGTTAATAAAACTAAAATAATAGCTGCTTTGAGAGTCTATATTGAACGGCTCATAAGGAGACTACGTGAATTTGCTATGTTAAAACCACATGCCTGCATACGGTCCAGAATAGTCCACCTCCTAGACCATGTGGTGATCATTGTGTGTGGTTTAGTAAATTTACAAGAACGGCTCATCAAGAAATAAGTATTATTGCCATGCAAGTCTTGTTTTTTCTATATTTTAACAGTACATAATTGCAAGTGTAAGATTGTTTTGTGGTATATTAATACTAACACAGTGAATTTCTTAGCTACACATTGTGCACATACATAAAGCTATGAGTAATTTTGTAAAACACCAATTTTTCCTTTTGTAGGTTAAAATACTTGTATAGGACTTATTTGAAGCTGTTCTTTATATAATTTTTTATTCTCCTTTACAACATTATCATTTAGAAACCTCAAAATAAATAAATTACTTGAATTTACCAATGCTCTATGACATAAAAATAACTACTTATTTAGTAAAGTGTATACTTTGTGTATTAAATTTTTGAAAAGCTTATTAGATCAACAATGTTATGGAATTCAGGATTATTTTAGCTGGTCAGCTGGTGGTATATCATCGGTGATACTGCAATATGTTGTATGTCGAAAAGAGGTAATTTTTCAGGAGAGAAAGAAAACTGTTTTTATCGACCAATTTTAAATTTGAAATTGCTATTTTTTGTCTACTATGTATTTTTCTATTAGGGTATTAGTACTTAACTCGATTTTTTTGTTCAATGGAATATTAAGCAAAATGCCGTTACATACGACATATTGCATTGAAAATGGAAATATTTATGTCACATACGACAATTTTGTAATCCATTATACATCTTACAAAAATAATTTTTAACAGTTCTATTCTTTTTATTTACGTAATGAAAAACTAAACAAAAAATTCTAAACAAATATGTAATCTTAAAATAAACAGGAAAGAATAAAATATATTAATTTTTGATATGTGAACAAACTTGGTCAGACTTGCAGCTGTGCTTTAAATTGTCATAAAATCCATGGTAATCTGATTCGATGACAGATTTCAATTCTTGAAGATGTATGAATTTTGTATCCTCAATTTGGCGAGGAGTTAAATATAGAGGTTCGTGAGAGAAAGAAGTTCTAGTACGACATGGTCTACGTGGCAGTTCGAGCCATTCATCCGAAAAATTTATTTTGTATTTTATTAGTCCTTCAGGAAGATACTGCAATGCACAAATGTCTGTAACACAGGGATCACCTTTTTTGCTTCCAGGTCGAATTTGTGAATACATTCCTTTTTTGTATTGCAAAAAATCGTTGAAATGCAGAGACACTACTTTATAAGGGGATGGGTTTTGCCTGGCCGCTCTTATAATTTTATTATAATCGGCGGGAACAGCTATATCATTTCTTCTTCCCAGCTTTCTCTCTATTACACTATGGACTGAATCCACCTCCATCTGGGTATGTCCTACCTCCAGGTACTTTTGTTCAATAATAATATTTTTTCCATGGCTATCTCCAGCAAACCATTTGACAAATTCACATTTCTGTTTTGGTAGGTACAACCGTCGCTCCATAGGATTATTACCTTCGGGCTCTGCCTTTCTATCTCTTCATTAAGAAACTTTACTAAAATGGAAACAAAAACATCGCTGTCTAAACCTCCATTTCCCTCGTGCCATAAATAACAAGACACATCTTTGTTATTAAGATTAAAAAATGTTTGGTTGTGAACCTTCAGTTTTTGTTTATAGTACATGGTGGAGGCTTGGGTAAAAGGACAAAGAAGAACAGCTTGTAAGTCCATAGTGTAGACATACTTTGAGTTTCCTGCCTCTGATGAGATAGCTTCTTGTTTGTCTTGCTCTTTTTCTGACCGTGCCTGTTCTTTCTTGGCAATGTGACTATCGTAATCTGCTTGACTTAAATTTCCCTTTTTAAACTTCACGCATGTGTTGCACTGGTCCTTACGAGGTGTATAAATTTCAAGATTTCTTGTCTTAAAAGTTTTATAGAAAAGTCTCCAAGAACAAGATCTTAGGTTTTGACGTTCACAATAGTTAATAAACTCACGATGCAAATGTCTGTAACTATTCCAAGTGGGTTCCAAATAAAGTTTCCTAGTGGATGCTCGACAGTAGTGCGATTCAACTTTAGGCAAGCTGTCTAAGAATTGATTAACATTTTTTGTGCATTCGGAATCCTGAGGTGGCTCTACTAAAGCCGGTTCAATACCTAGCTCCATATTTGGTAAACATTTGTTTAAAACCCATTCTCTTACACATCTTTCTCCAATACCTAAAGTGGCTAAAAACATTTTCTTGCATACGTGATATTTTTTGGTAGACTCTGGATTATCTTTAGTTATTAAATAATATTTAAACCCTGTTTTCTTTCGAGACTCTTCTTCTGCAGTGTTTCGTCTTCTGTGTTTGGGCTGAGAGTGCAGTACAAGACTACTTACATAAATTTTTTTACCTTCCCAAGAACTAATTTCCCAAAAAGATTGAAATATTTGATTACGCATTTCATTTGTAATTTGCAAACATTCAAATTTTTGTTGTGGTCCCTTAGAGTCATTTTTGTGTCCCCCACATGACGGCTTTACTTTGCGCTGAACTCTACAGACTGTTTGCTGGTACTTGCCTCCAGTATTTTTCTGAAATCCCATGTATGCATGGCCTTTAAGTCTCGCTTGCGAATTTTTTGCTCGTTTCCATTGCGATGGATCTCTTTGCCCTTTACTCTTACGTTTTTTTGTTCTTCCATCCGGTGTCCGACGATCTTCTTGGTTTCCACCTCCTTGGTTTTCAACGTTTTCGTTTCCTAAACTATTTTCTGAGTCAGTATCTGTTGGCAGATACTCGCTGCCACTTTCCTGAAATGGATCTGGTTCTGAATGTCTTTCAGTATCTGAAGTTGCATCATGGACCTCTTCTTCATCTGCTACAACTTCTTCCTGATAGTCAATTATTGGTACAATACCACTATCAGAATCTGTGTTTTGTTCCAAATAATATAACTTTTCATCAGTTTTGGAATGCGATGTTTCTTTTGGGATTTCTGCCACTTCTAGGACTGTTAAAATTGGATTATCTACCAATTCTGCATTTCCTAATAGATCTTGAACTGACACTTGAACCATGCTCTCTGTTCTTTGAGGATCTGATGCATCGTTCAATTGGGTCGCAAAATTGTTAATGTTATCGTCTTTGGGCACTTGGTGAGAGGCTACTGCACTAGATGCTGAATTTCGAGCTAGTTCCACCAACAGTCGCGCTCTGTTTGACATTATGGATTCACTGAAAATAAAAAAAAACAAAGATGCAATATGTTGTATGTCAATACTTAACAAACAGAAATAATACTAAATAAAAGCTAAATTTGGAATGTAAAATATCGTATGTCACACAGTGTTCAAAAAAATCGATTAATTACTACAATAAATCATATCATTAAAGAGAAAAGGAATAAATAACCTACGTGAATTTTACTTGCCGTTTTGATATAATATATTTATTCAGAAAAAATTAAGGTTATACAAAATAATATTGTTGTTTTTTTTTTGTTAATTATGGTATTTCTTGACTAAAAACTACAAACACTATAACGTTTTTGTAGTTTAAATTAAGAAAATAACAACAAACTCACCATGTAAACTCAAAAAACTATCACAAAACTCACATTTAGTTGTTACTGACACGTTACTGCTTGCAGCTAACCTAAAATGTATAATAATTTAAGTGACATACGACGTATCGAAATATCCAATTGTGTAGCGTTACGACATAGACGGAGAGCATGATTCTGACATACGGCATATTGAAGTATCCAGTTTTGTCAAGAAAAACATACGACATATTTGTATGTGTAAACAATCAGGGTACCTGTTCAAATTTCATATACAACATTTTGCAGGGGCATAGAGGACTGTATTTTGGTTACAATGGATATATAAACAAAAAATTGCAATTTTTGTGACATACGACATATTGCAGTATCACCGACGATATATCAATATTTTTGTTCATCTACAAATACAATAAAACATTTGCAGCTACCTACTAATGTAAATAGTTAAAAAAACATTTCATGAATAAAATACTTTTTTAAAACATTATAAGTGCTTTATTCAATCAAATACACATAAAATAAATTGGACAAGAATATATGCATAATATAGACTAAATACATTTGCATAATGTATCACAGTTTGCAAATATTAATCATACATTTTCTGATCATACCTGAATAGATTAAACTAGCAACTAAACCTGGTGTTGTCTGGTTCAAAATACATTTTTCTATCTTATATATGGGCTCAAATCTTGGTACCATTAAGTGTATGTTGTAGTGTATACATTGTTAACTGATTAATTCAGTTACTAAATCAATTTATTATAAATCAAATTTGAAGATAATAAAAATTTAAAAGTAGGTACTGAAAATATTAGTATAATAAACTTTGATACATTTATATAAAATCTAATACATGAAAATTTATACCAAATATTTCAATGCACACGAACAATTGAGTTGTCTTTTAGTCGAATCTACAGGTAAATTGTTGACATTACATTAGATCTATTGAATCAGTTTTGGGAAGATAGCTTTTTCCCAAAACAAAGTTGCTTTTTGCAGCAAATCCTTACAAAAAAAAATGTCAAGTTCAACTTCCACAATTGATACATCTTTATTCACTTCAAAATTAGGTGATGCAACACAAAATAATCCCTTTTTTCTGCCTGACAATAGCATTTGGAGTTGAATTTGGGCAAAAGGTTTCTTACCTATGACTCCACCATTTAAGTATTGCTTAAGTGTCGATTCTTTTGATGGGCACTTTATTTCAATACAAAACTCAGCATTTACAGCATCAGGGCTAGCTCCAAATATAGGATATCTCTTATCTACAAATATTCCTACTTTTTCTACTTTTATTAGTTTCTTTCTTGCCACAACCTTCAATACTTTATCCTCTAATGATAATCCCCTCTTCATAGCCTTTGTGGACTTGAATTTTGCTGCACCCAAAATTGACTCCACTAAACATCCATCATATGTTGTACTCTGTGCTGCTTCATAAAACTTCGATGCAGTAATACGTGCATACCTTATCTCAAACCATGTACCAGTATTGGATTGATCTTTTGTTTGATTTAAAATTTCTTTACAAGGCTTATCATTCATTTCTTGCTGACAATACTGAATAAAATTTTCAGCAGTGATGCTGCTACTGTTTCTTACAAATTTATTTATTAAATGATATAGGGATACTTTATCAATAGCATTCTCTTCAGTTTTGTAGTATTCAAATAAAATGCCCTTGCTTTTGTTTTCTAATCCTTTTTCTAATAGTTTTTTTAAGAAGGAATTATTGTGTGATGCAACTGGGGGAACATTCTTAAATAGCTCATTCAATTTTGCTGCTTTCAATGAAGAACCTACTTTTGCTAAAGTCGGTTTTCGCCAGTAGCACTCAACACTTGTTACAGAAGGTTCTGTAGAACGTCGTAGTAGCCAAAACATCAGAGCTACACCATGCTTGCACCCTCCTAGAAATTAAAATATAGTATATTATAAAGACACAAGGACTTATTAAACTCAATACCTTCACTAGCTGGGCAGCTATGACACACACTATGTGTAATCTTCTCTTCAGCCTCATTAATGCAGATTGTCACCTGATATCCTTTTTCGTGGATCTTGTGTTCGGGAGTTACTCGGCACTTTACAGTACATATTGATCCCTCTCGCAACAGCTGGACAAATCCGATAGCTTCATCTCCATACGATTGCTTGCCACTTCTAGGAACAAAATGGTTATTACAATATATTTCCT